TCTGCCATCATGTCTAATTGATCATGTTGCGCTTTATTTACCTTCATTATCTCCGAGGAAGTGGCACCACGTGTGCAGTGAGATGATCAGACGCTGTTTTCAGATTGATGTTAGAAAATAGAGAAATGCGACGAGACTGTTTCAGACTAATCATGAGCCAAAGTATAAAGAAATACTGTATTCACATGAAAATATCTAAACAGTGAAATCTAAAGCACAGCTGTTCAATCAACTGAAGCTTCTAATGGGAAAACCATGAAGGCGTGTGTTGTGGCTCGTTCAGACTCTAAATCAAATAGCTTAGCGTGATTAGAGCTGCTAAGTCCTGCTAAGGCCAACACAGTGATTGCATTATCATACATTATGGGATAATCTGTGGTATTGATTCTGCATGAGGCTGTCACACATCTGGCTGATGTGTGATGGACTGCAGTGATTTTCTCTGTCCAGCCTCAGAAGAAACTCTTTCCAGGCACAGATTAATTTTCAGCATTTGCGATGCCTGGCTTCACTTGGCTCAGGTAGAAGACTTTGATGGCTCCTGAGTGAATCCCACGTTGGCCAGAGTGAATCGAACATCTCTGAAATTAGACCGCCGGCCGGCTCGGTGGATCCTCGCTCGGCCGGCTCTAATGGAGCGAGGAGAGGGAGGGAACGGGCCGAGCTGCCGTTCACCTGCACTCCCAAACACTTCTTCGTTCTCTTTTAAAAATAGCTGCCGGACCGCTGCTGAATAAAACATCAGCCCGTGCCTGTTTATTTTAGAGTCCGTGTGATCGCGCCGGTGTGAGAAAACAAAGCTCTCTCGGGGCTTCAGGAGGTGCGCTGTGTAATCTGAAGGTATTAAAGTTCTTGAGTGATCCACCTTAGAGGCTGGGAAAGTGCAGCAAAGCAAGAGTAGTTAGAAAACAGACTCAAAAAAGAAAAAGTGAGCTAGAATTTATACCAAAAATGCGTCTGACTGACAGCTTGTTGGTAATTCAAACTGAGGCTGCAGAGACGAATGCAACAGGTCCGTCTGCAGCCCTTTCTCCTCAGCGCAGGAACATCTGGTTTGCACATCTGTCTTGTAGACACATGAGGGGATGTGGGCTCTGCAGGGAGAAGAGAAATTTGGCTGCACGGGTCATGAACACACACTGATACGCA